TCTGGACCACTATACGCACCCAATACTACATGTGCACCTGCTCCCCCATCAAAAACATGGTTTTTCTTTTTCCACTATCCAGAAGCGGCGGTTCTGGTGCTTGAATAATGTTTATATATATTTAAACTAAATTACCACGCAAAGAATGGTGCCAAAAACCCGTGAATTGGTGTTTCTGTGATTATACTGTGGCCCAATATGCTGTTTTACACCCTCAGCGCCCCACAATTAGTGCAGGACAATTTTGACCAATGTTGCACCGTAGATAGACTTCCCAGACATCAAACTATATTGTCCAATTATTGCTTCAACACCACCAAACATTGTAACCATGGTAATAACCCAAGGGTAGATGTTCTCCTCCTCCCCCCCTAGACACCGCACCGCTGCCAATGCCATGGTCGCTGTTTTTGGGCCCCGAGTGGTGTCCATGGTTGGATATTGATGTTTGTCTACCTGTGACAGCAAAAGCCAAGTAAATCGAACCATTATATCCAAAGTTCTGGCCTCCCGATCCCCTATGACCTCGCTGTGGCAATATCTTTCTAACCGTTTACGCTATAACTTTGGAACAAATGGACCGATTCCTTCAAAAATTTATTTACATCATCCTATACATTTATAAATATTTGTTAAATAGTCAGAACACTCAAAATCGGGCTCCTTTGTGTCGGCAAAATCACCTCGCCAATTTACGTTTTATACGCTGATTCCATTGAAACGACACCCAGCAATGCAATTCATTCGTTCTAAATCACAAAACTCACAAAGTTACCAAAACACCCCCAAAACACCCCCTAACCCCCTAACAAAACAGAAACCAGCACCTGCTAGGCCTACCCTAGCATCCCTACTATTATTTCCCTATTTTCCCGGATTTTTATCGCACCTAATACTACCCCAGCACACCCAGTATCGTCCCCAGTACCCAAAATCCAGCCAAAACCCACCCAATCCATGTATACAGCGCCCTACCAGCCTGCTACCCATCTACCCCCACCCCCTACCCATTTTCCTACCCCCTATCCAGCACCCCAGGACACCATCCCGGTCTCAGAAAGTTGGGCCACATCCAGATTGAACATACTTTTGCCACACAGCCCGGTAACATTGCCCAGATTCCTAGATCAAGATCAGTGATGTAAAATCAAAGCACAGATCCAGAGATTAATTGAGCCTGGGCCAGATCTAGAAGTCAAAGTACTGCGTCCATGAAAAGTACTATGCTAGGAGAAAGTACTATACCGACCAAAAGTACTACACCGACCAAGAGTACTATACTGGCAAAAAGTACTGCACCAGAAGAAAGTACTATCCCAGCAAAAGTACTACACTGACAAGAAAGTACTACCCCAGCGAAAAGTACTACATGAGCGAAAAGCACTACACCGATGGAAAGTACTACGCTGGCAGAAAGTACTATGTCGACCGAAAGTACTACGCCGACAGAAAGTACTATGTCGACAGAAAGTACTATGTCAACAGAAAGTACTATGCCGGCAGAAAGTACGATGCCGGCAGAAAGTACGATGCCAGCGGAAAGTACGATGCCAGCAGAAAGTACTACAAGGGCAGAAAGTACTACGCCAACAGAAAGTACTACAAGGGCAGAAAGTACTACGCCAACAGAAAGTACTACAAGGGCAGAAAGTACTACGCCAACAGAAAGTACTACAAGGGCGGAAAGTACTACATCAGCGGAAAGTACGAAGCCAGCAGAAAGTACTACAAGGGCGGAAAGTACTACACCGATGAAAAGTACTACGCCAACAGAAAGTACTACGAGGGTGGAAAGTACTACACCAGCAGAAAATACTGCGGCAACAGAAAGTACTAGGCTGGCAGAAAGTACTAAACAAGCGAAAAGTACTATACCAGCAGAAAGTACTACAACGAGCAAAAGTACTATACCCACAAACCAGCATTGCGTCACTTTTACTAGCACAGTACTATACCATACGTGCCCCAGAAGCCTCAGTACTCTAAAGTACTGAGACGAGTCACTTTACT